TTTTTTTTTTTTTAACGATAAAAAGTATTTGAAAAATTGTACATAAAATATTTTTGTGAAAACTGATATGATATAAGAGTTAAAACTGATATAATATAAAATAATAAACAGCGTGATTATTTGAAATAAATTTGTATAATAGTGTTAATTGACAAACAATAATGATTGGTTTTTAGAAAACTATGTCGTACACTTATAAATCTCTCCTTATATTTGTATATTTATGAAGTTTTTTTCCCTTGTTAATTCAAATACACTAACGTCAATCGAAGTCAAATTACTATAATCGAAGTCAAATTAGTACAATCGAAGTAAATTATACTAAAATCAAAGTCGAATTAGTCCAATCGAAGTTAAATTACTATAATCAAAATCGAATTAGTCCAATCGAAGTCAAATTAGTACAATCGAAGTCAAATTACTATAATCAAAGTCAAAGTAGTACAATCAAAGTCAATTATGGTGTAATCGAACTCGAATTAGTCCAATATAAAGTCAAATTAGTACAATCTCGGTCAATTATGGTGTAATCAAACCCCAATTAGTCAAATATGAAGTCAAATTAGTACAATCTCGGTCAATTATGGTGTAATCGAACTCGAATTAGTTCAATTGAAGTCAAATTAGTACAATCTCTGGCAATTATGGTGTAATCGAACTCGAGTTAGTCCAATTGAACTCAAATTAGTACAATCTCGGTCAATTATAGTGTAGTCAAACTCGAATTAGTCTAATTGAAGTCAAATTAGTACAATTTTGCTAGTTTTTTTCGTTGTTCTTCTTGTTTTCCACCGTTTTAGGTCGGAAGCCCCACAAGTAATATTTTCAGCCCAAAAAATTGTCCTAAAAGCATGCTCAAGTAGTGGGATTCGTTGGCGACATGTAGGAAGAATCGAAACTCAATTTCGAGTTCGGACGAGTCCAAACGAGCATGAATTTTACTAGTCTTCTTCGTTTTTTTATTCTTTTCTCCCGTTTTAGGCCGGAAGTCCCGCAAGGAATAGTTCCAGCCCGAAAATTGGTCAGAAAAGCATGCTCTAGTAGTAGGATTCGTTGGCGACATGTAGGAAGAATCGAAAGTCAATTTCGAGTTCGGACGAGTCCTAACGGTCCCGATATGCGAAGTCGTGCAAGAAAGCCGCCAACTTCAGGTCAAGAACTTTGGGATAATAGGTTTTCATGAATAGGTTGGATTTGAAAACATAATTATATAAAAGGCTTCGTTGGCGACATGTAGGAAAAAATGAAATTCAATTTCGAGTTCGGACGAGCCTGAATTTTGCTAGTTTTCTTCGTTTTTTTTTTTATTCTTTTTCCCCGGTTTTGGCCCGAAGCCCCGCAAGGAATAGTTCCAGCCCAAAAATTGGTCAGGAAAGCATAATCTAGTAGTAGGATTCGTTGGCGACATGTAGAAAAATCGAAACTCAATCTCGAGTTCGGACGAGTCCGAACGGGCCCGATATGCGAAGTCGTGCACGGAAGCTGCCAACTTCAGGTCAAGAGGTTTGGGAGAATAGGTTTTCAAGAATATATTAGATTCGAAAGCATAAATACGTAGAAGGCTTCGTTGGCGACATGTAGGAAAAAAAGAACTCAATTCCGAGTTAAGACGAGCCCTAACGAGCCCGAATTTCACAATCCGGTCTAAAAAAAAAAATGGAAAATGGATTTTGAAAATCTGCTTTAAAAAAAATGGATTATGGAAATCCGTTTTTCTATATAAACGGATTTCCATAATTTGTCTATTTAATTCTTGTCCACATCATTTTCTTTCTTTTATTTTTTGCCACATATTTATTTTTTTTTTAATTAAATAAATGATCCCTTACTTTCTATCTTATGGGCAATTCTTGTGTTATAGGCTAGACAATTATATGTTTTCAACAAATGTATAACTTTTACATTTAAATATCATATTTCAAATAATAGAATAAATAAATTACAATATTTATTTTCTCGTGAGAGTGAATTTTTAGAAAGAAAGTACTGTTGCGCCTAACCATTATGCACTCTACCATCATCCGACAACCCGACGATACTTTCATGTGCAACAAAGAGAATCTCAAACGAAAAACTATATACTCGATGCAGATCAAAACATTAATATGAAGCAATATACTCGAGGAGTACACATGCCTTCCTCGGACCAAGTCTAAATTCAGACACTGACATGTGGATTTAGTGAATAAGTTTCAATGATGATAAACACTTGTAGGACTCTCGACAAACCATTATCGAATGATCCGACGAACACACCAAACACCCTACCTATCGGTAACTTTGTGCCCCATCGGAGCTTGATGTACTAATCTCATAGGTACTAAAGTGTCTTACATTTCTCCCATCTCCCATAACGAACGATGTAACGCAACTTTTTATTTTATATACATTAACAAGAGTTTTGTCACTTGAAAATTTGTCACTATACTTGTGTAAATTCAAACTCTATTGGAGAGTACATGGTTAATTTATACTAATGGAGATAAAAGAAAAGTAAGACCGTACAAAATAAAAGAATAAATTTCGATATGGAACAATATATAGGGTTGATCTTATTTATGGACTATGATATTTGGATTTGTACATATCACTTACATTGTAAACTATTTAAATTATTATGTAAAATTAAACATAGCTGCATAGAGACTTACAAGTTTTTGTATCCTTTGGATGAAAAATATTATTTTTCTTTAGATTTTGAAATGGTGCTTTTCCTTCAGCTCCAATAGCTTAAACCACCTCTTCTCTGTGGAGGCTGAGTTTCTTATACCCAAATCTGATGCAGCATTAATAAATGGCAGAATTATCAGGAAACTTATTCTATAGTTCCGTTACAGTACCATCCCCTCGGATGTTTTAACCGTTGGATCATCTATCTTATGCTAACTACATGTGTATCCAACGGTTAAAACACTCGACGGGATGGTGCCGTAACAAGACCGTAACATTTCCCAGAATATCAATCAGTTCACAAAAAGAAAAAGTACTTACAATGCATTTTAGGTTCAGACTTATCACAAGCTTGAGAGCATGTTTCCTGCACAACAAAAAATATATTACTAATCATCTTTTTTTTTTTTTTTGTATCGAAGTTTTATTGCAATTTTGGAGAAAGAATATTCTATTGTGTCATCTTCAAAATGATTTACAGTAAGGATATGCCATTAATTAAATAGCTATATACTTTAACTGAGATGGCAAGTCGAATCGTGTCTTGTATCAATGAATCAAGATCGGCTTCATATCCAGGTTTCACATAAAGAACCTGAAGCAAAGAAAATTAATACATGAATAGGGTTAATATTGATCATATTGCATTTAAGTACACTGTACTCGTGTAAATGATGTGCCAAGCATAGGTCTTTTTTCTCAGATACACACATACACACACAGATTGCATGAAATGAGTCTGTATTTAGAAAATGAGTATGTGAGGCTCAATCATTCCCGTTAAATAAGGAACAAAAGATGTTGTCAAGATTTTATCTTTTATTTATTTTTTTTTAATTATTCAGATATTGATTTGACCGTTGACCGCCATCGTTGACTGAGGACTCCCGACGTTGATCGTTGAGTAAATGTGTTGTCAAAATGTACAATAGATATCAATTAAGTATGCATGTTTATGAAGTAAATATAAACTAAATGTGCAGTTTTCAAACTGACGGTGTCCCTGTCAAAACATGCAATGGGAAATCGACCAATTAACCTGTTGAAGAGTGCGATCTACGTGAAGAACCACTTCCGGTTGGGTTGACCAATCAACGACGGCCGTCGGTTAATACTGATTGCCGGTCAATTATTACAGAATTAATTTAAATATAATAATAGTTATTACTTTTTATTATGTAATGTATACAAATCTTGATTGGTTAAATATGAGTCATTGGTTTAACACAAATCAATGGCTATGACTGAGTCTCATATTCTCATTTTAAGGAAGGGCACTACTAGATACACCCCTATATTCATATAGGGATTCGATCAAATGGGTCTTAATTGTCTCAATTCTTAAAATGTGTATATAAGGCTTAATGCTTGCCATTAATCAGGAAACAAGATGTGTGATCAAAATTTAATGTTTTATTATTTTTTTAATTATTCAAATACAGATTTGACCATTTTGACTGTTGACTGCCGACGTTGACCATTGAAAGTTATTGTAAACTAAATATACATTGCGTATGAAGTAAATGCACACTCAAAATATGCAGTAAATATCAACTAAATATAACCGATCAAAAAAAAAAAAAATTAGCTAAATATACCTTTTGTATGAACTAAAATGTACAAAGATAATATGTAATAGATATCAACTAAGTATGCATTGTTCACGAACTAAATATACACTATATATGAACTAAATATTCATTTCGTAGTTCGTACATACAAAATGTGCAATCAAAATATGCAATTGACAGCAATATCCTAGAGCCTTACTAACTGCAGCTGCTAAGTATGCATTGTTTATGAACTAAAAATACACTATGAATGACCTAAATATGCATTTTATATGAATTAAATGTGCAACAAAATATGCAATTGAGAACAACATCCGGGAGTCTTACTATGTATGAATTAAATAAGCAATTTAGTTGAGTAGATTCCTAGTTGTATCTCATCTCAACACACATTTTGTAAAACAATATAACTAAATAATTATTTGATCTTGGCCTACTATGATTGATGTTTGGCGATGCCTGATGACTCACACGTACAGAATTAAGAAGAGAAGATTAAGTTAGAATTTTACAGAAGGATCTTCAGTGCCAATATCGGGGAGTTGATGAAAAGATGAGTCTCTAACCAGTCTGGTTGATGGAATAATCCAAACTTTAAAAGTTGTGTTGATCTAAGACATAAAATGACACAAATTGCAATTCAATTTATACAAAATTAATATTTAAAAAATAATAATTCTAAGAAAAAATGAGAACGAGTATATATACCTCACTCGAGTAGGGGGAGCAACAATTGCAACATTTCCTATTTATGCATGTTGTGATCGCTCCTTCTACCGATAACCCAAGTCCAGCATGCTGTTAAAACATTAATTTTTCAGCATCACTATCGGCTCTTCTTTTTCGTGTTTATATTTACGACCACCTATGTATGTACATTGTATCAACCCATTGTAGCTCATACTAATTACAATCTCTGTCGAGTTAATTTCGCACTGGCAGAACATTAGAAAATCAGACTCATAGGGCAGCTAGCTAAGCCCAAATATGTTATTATGTGCAGAAGATTAATGAGGAAATCCCAAATTCAAAGTTGGATCATCACCTTCTCAAGGGAAAGGTTAATGAAAACGTCCGTGTCTTTGTGAATGTCGTCGTCCACTAGATCGTGCAGTTGTAGTTGATGCAGTGAAAATACGTAATTGCACTCCCATTTACTGTCCCATCTTCCTTGGGATGTTGATATGGTAATCAGACGTCGTCGAGACTTCTTTTTGGGTACCTATTGTTCATTTTTCAAAAAATAGACTAAATATATAATAGACCACACAATCACAATCACAAAATTCTGCCATTCCCTAATTCGAGCATCAGTCATCGGCCAACATTTTAGTCTTATATAATATATATATGTATGTAGACCTTAGAGCTGTAAACGAGCCGAGCTCGAGCTTCAGCACCGAGCTCAGGGTGCTGAAGCTTGAACTCGAGCCCTTAACGAGCCGAACTGAGCTCTGCTCGTTAAGTAAACAAGCATAAAATCGAGCTCGAACTCGGCTCGTTAAGACGACGAGCTCGAGCCTTAACGAGCTGATTTCAAGCTTTAACGCCGAACTATAAACAATTATATAAAAATTCTATTTTGAGCCTTGTAGGGCCAAGCCGAGCCAGGCTCGTTTAATCTAACCGCACTAGTCCGTAGACGTTGAATAACAATATTATGGCATCAAAAGCTACTAAAGAATTATTAGTATTAAATAGTTAGACTTATATTGAAAATTTGAAATGGATAAGCAAGCAGGAGAGTAGAGATATTGGAGGCTTATTACCATTGAAAGTTGATTTCTCTTAGCAGAAGAAGCTCTTGGCGCAATTAGCGTGTGGTTAATTATAATTTTGTTCCTCACTTGGAATTCGCAATTGATGTTTGGTGATGATGAAACCCATTTAAAGGCCATCTCTCTTTCTCGTATAGAGGTACGCTCACACCCGCACACTGAAAATAAAGGTCTCTACAATTACCACAACCTTATCTTCGGCAGCTAGCAAGCCTTGGTGGCACTATTGGTTACATTATTTTTTAATATTTTTTTTATGTTTTATAACAATATAGGGAAATACTGCAGTTCCGTTACGAAACCATTCCGTCGGGGTTTGTAACTGTTAGATCAATCATCCCGACAGTTACATGATGATCTAACGGTTATATATCCCGACTGAATGGTCCCGTAACGGGACCGTCGCATTTTCCAATAATATATAGGAATTCCAAAAAGATAAAATTAACATTGAATATAACTTTTTAATATTGATTCAAATTTAATTTATATTACTTACTATAGAGTTGGGTTCAGAAAGGTCTGTTGATGTCGAAAATCAGACGATCAACTGTCGATTGTAAATCGAATATCTTGTAGGAAATTCAAGAACAAATTAGTAAAAATGGTGTTTTTATTTCTTCATCTTGAAAGAGTCTCCATCTCTCTTTTGTTGGGAAAAATAGGAATGAGGAGGAAGGACGAAGAAAAATGGGGAGAAAAGTCCCCTCTTTGTCCTTTTGGGCCACTTATATATAGTGATGTGGCCCCCTTTTTTTACAAGTGGATAAATACATAATTAAATAAATAACACACTATTTTTAATGCGAGATAATCATTGTGGGGCCCGCCTATGACCTTCGACGGTTCCGATTGACGTCGAGCTCCCGACCACTGTAACGTCTACTGGAGGCGGCTTCCCTACGATATATGTGTCATCCGATTACTTCAAATCTGTCTTGACTCGGCGACGAGCGGACTCGAAATAAGGAGACCCGGTCGGCTTTCATACGAACAATCTTGGGTACCTGTTTATATATATTTATTTATCATATATTTCGGCTCCTTGGACATTGGGCCATATTTTTATATTTATATTTATTAATTAATCGGAGCCAAATTGGGTATCAACGAGAGGCCCCCGAGTTTAGGACATGTTCTGGATCGAACTGTTCTGAAGTCGCGTTGTTCTTTACAATTTGGTGATGCCTCTACCTCGCGATTTTTTTAGCATCAAGCCCTTTATATAATGTTCGAATATACGCATAATGATAGTTATTGATGACATCGCAAATACGTTGGTGGGTTAGCATGATGGATAAATTTTGCGTGATACACAGGATCACCACTATATCTCATCGATTTTCACTTTATGTGCCTCGAGGGCTCGTTTAATATTTATCGAGTAACTTTTGTTACTCGGATCGTCGCTTTGTCAATTTGTACTTGTCATTCCATCTCGTGGATGTCATTTTGAAGTGTTATTATGCGAAAATATGCTGATTTTGCTATGAGTTAACATGCAATTTTCGGGTGCTTTGTGATAGGTCGAAAAATGTGCACGTTTTATATATTTAATAGTGTATTCCTATACACT